AAACCTCGGTGTTGCTCCCGCGCCTCGCTCAGCCAGTGAGCGGGAACCGGTCTGTATGTGGGATCCAAACCCTCGGGCGGGAGCGCCACCGCGCTTCCCAAGCGGCGCACTATCCAGTGCGCCACCGGGCCGGCAAGGCAGCTAACATTCTGTGAGCTCTTATTATGTGCCAGACACTGTGCTAAGTGCTTGACATGCGCTAATTCATTCAATCCTCTCTATATTCCTACGAGGCCAGTACTAGTATTAGCCCTACTTCAGAGATGAGGAACCCAGTCCCGGAGGTAAGGTAACTTTCCCACGTTAACACAGTCAGCAAGGGGCACAGTCAACACGTAGACCACTCAACTCTCTGTACTGAACTGGAGCCCATCTATACTCAAAACACATCAATTAATTAGTCAGCAGCACTCAATAGGCAAAACAGATTTACCCTATGCCAAAAGCTGTGTCAAGGAGTAAAGAACCAGGGAAAACCGCGTAGAACTGCATTCTGCAAGGTAGAGTGCAAAAACAGATCAGCTAAACCACTGCAAACATCGCACACAGAGAAATTTTGCAGGAAGGCATGGTTTCCCTCCCCAGGATTAGAATTGTCACCTAAACAATAAGACGTTCTCTTAAACCCTGTTTAAGGATGGAAATACTGTTCCTTATGACTGTCCACTATTTAGACTGCTGGTCTTTATAACCTTTTGGAATGACAGTTCCATTATGTTTCCAAAATGTGGCGTAAATAGCTCTCTTTTTTTCCTAAGTTTCAAAGGGTACCCTGGCCCAACTACTCAAGGATTTGATCCACAAGTCTGTGTTCCCCAACAATGTCAATCATTTCTCCTCCCTCTTTTCTCAGGTGAAAGCTCCAATATCATACCCATAATTTCAGGTGCTGCCTCTGTGCCTTTTCATGCAACACAACACCCTTTTCTGGCCAATGATGGATACAGCTCTCCAAAAAGTGAGCAATCTGATTTCGCGCAAAAGTTGAGGTGATGCTTTCTGCTTAGTTTCTAATCATCTTCCATTGCTGTCTTCAAGGACACCATCCACAAGTTTCTGGACCGTTTCCTGTATTGTTACCAGAGGCTTAAGGCCTTAATGTCTTGATGCTGGGATGTTATTTAAACATTTTTAAATGAATACATTGTTATTTCTGCCCATAATAAATCTCATTCTCTCAGCCTTGGGAGACTTTGGTGGAGCCAGGGGACACAAGCAGACACACACTAAACTTTCTCTTGAGTATAATATGTGGAATTTTTAGGTTAAGGGACTTTCTCTTCCAATCCCACATATAACATTGACTATGGGGACACCATTACCTAGTAGCCAGAGCATCAACACAATGAAAAGGTTAAGGTATGTCCAGAAACATTGTCTCGGAAGAAATGAGTGACAGTAATAAGTCGGAAGGATAAAACATCACAGAAACACAGATTTTTAGGAGAAAATGCAATCAAATTAATGTTAACTAAAAATGTGCAGAGGAGGAAATTAAGAAAGATAATAACAATAAACCTTTCTTTTTTAAGCAAGTATGAAAACGTGGACTTAGCTGGAAACAAGACATTGAAAAATGAAACTCTTTCATCACTGTAGCCACTGCATTTGAATAGCTCCCCAAGAAAAATTAGATGACCATAACTGCCCCAGCCCCTCAAATCCAAGTTTCAAAGGACTGAAATGCTAAGAATGTAATCAGCTAGGATATGAAAATCACGATTCTACAATGTGAGCTGGAGCGTAACTGTTAAAAAAAATAAAGTTACAAGTATTAAAGTATCCAAGTAATTAACTGCACAACCCCGACCCTGAACCACAGCTCAGCTAGAACAGGGACAGTCGTAAAATGCACGAGATTAGAGATTTCCCCTGGGGCCCTCCGCCGCTGTATCTCCCCCTCCCACTTTCCCCAGCACCAAAACCGCGCGCAGATCTCCGCACAGAGAGCACTAAGTGAAAGGTCAAAGTTGCCTGGCGCTGCCTCTGGCTGAGTCCTCGGGCCTCAACAAACTCCGATAAGGTGACTTTACGAAGTGCTACAAAAGCGATGACTATCATTACACTTTGTAGCCCAGCAAGCTCAGGAAACACGGGGGAGAGCAGGGCGACCGTTTAGGAGAGAAAACTGCCCTCACCAAGAGAGCAGAATTATTAAAACACTGATAAAACCGATCGCAGTCCAGGTCTCTGGCAGCAAATTCCCGTTGGAGCCGAGCAGCGAGCAAACACGTTCTGTCTCAACCGTGTGCACATACACTATCTTCTCTTGCACGGCCCGATTCCAAACTGCATTGCACCAACACTCTCCACGGAACCTTCACCGGGCCCTGGGGCCGTACGAATTTGAGAAAGAGGAAATGAGGACCGGTCCAAGGGCACTGTTGCGCCTTCACAGGCCCAGACGGGAGATATTTCTACTACCCAGGGGAGGCCAGAGTGAAAACGCCCCCCAGTGTCCGGCGGGCGGTGGCCCCCCGGCGGGACACTCCTGCCCGGTCGCAGCCTGCCAGCGCTTTCACCTCGGGGTGCGCAGCAAAGCGAGCGGGGTACGCTGCCCGCCGGGCGGCTCACCTGGGCGATGCCGGCGCCCATCAGCCCGCCGCCGATGACCGTCACGTGCTTGATGACGATTTTCTTCGCCGTGGCCGAGGCGGCAGACGAGGAGGACATGGAGCGCACGAACTGCCTGGTTACGAAAGCCATGGTGCAGCGGCGGCGACAGCGACGAGACCCGGGCGGGAAAGGCACAGGCGGCGCGAGCACCAGCGGCCTGGCGACCTCTGCGGGCGGAACCCAGGAGGCCCCGCCGCCCGCGCGCCCTGGGCGTCACCGTGACGTCACCAGCAGGCGGGGCGGGGACTCGCGGCTCGCCCCGCCCATTGGCCCAGGCTTCGGGCGACTGTTTTCGAACGTCTGGGGGCTGCGTCCGGGCCCACGTGGGAAGCATGGGCTGTGGTGGTGCGGGGTGGCCCCGGGCGAGAGCCGGACCGGGGATTCGTGCCCCGCGGCTAGCGTTCCGGTGTCGGGCTGAGTACAGGCCCTTCCTCTGAAAAGCCACAGGCAACTTGTTCAATGAAGTTCGTGGTGTTGACTTGTTAAATCCTAGCCATTGATGCTTGTGCATACCGAGGCGCTGAATAAATACGTGCTGCTTGGCTCTGGTGGCAATGTTCCCAAAATGTGCACCCTTGCTTCATGTCACCGAATAACCAACCCTAGGGACTATTTTAATCCGGTGGACATCAATTGTGCTGAAAAGGAGAGAAATTTAGACTGCTAACACTTGAAACAAATGTCTAGTGACCCATGAGTTCCAATACGAAGATTAAGCCCTAGAGGGGAAAGGGAGAGTCGACTTTTACTTTTCCATTCCAGCGTGAGACAGTAGACAGTAAATATGTGGAAGTTTTAGGACAAAGAGCAACCTTTGTCATTGATATTACTAGAAAACATAGGAAAGGAATATCTTTCCAAATAATGGAAGACTTAATACCAAATAGGCCAATTTTCTCACTCTTGTGAATATTGTCTAGTACTGTACCTTAATGATGTAGACTTTTTATTAACTTATTTTTAAATATTAAAATGTGCCGATAACACTAAGTCTAGGGTTTGGATCCCCTTAACCTCCAGTCAACAAAACAAAACAAAATAATATTAAAGGTATATAACAACTTTTATGTATTTATTTTTTTATTGTTGCTGCTTTTTTATTTGGTTGTGGGGACTTACATAAACCAATTTGCATCAATTCCTTTATAACAACTTTTTAAAAGTTGTTATAAACTTTAGACAAATTAAATTTAGAATTTATTTGAGCAAAGAAATGATTCATGAATTGGGCAGCAACCTGAACCAGTCAAGATTCAGAGAGCTCCACCCAGCAATGGTGGGCAGGCAGTATTCACAGGTGGAGATGGCGAGTGACATACAGAAATAGCCAGATTAGTTACAGCTTAGTTTTCTTTATTGGGCATGGTCTGAGCAGTTTGCAGCCTGTGATTGACTGAAAGCTTGGCTACTATGACTGGCCTGAGATTCATCTACTTGTGACAAGAATATACTCTCAAGTTAGGTTGTAGTTTGTTTACATATTAACTTAGGTTACAATTTTCTACATACAGAGGCAGCTTTGGGCCAAACTTAATTTAACAGTTCGCCCCCTTTTGGTCAGCCTCTCAATTTTGAGAGATTCACCAAAACCTTGGTCATTGATACTTTCTGTCACCACTGTAGTGGACTTGTTTGGTCTCTGTATGAAATTCACTATTCTGAGTGTCAAATTAGTTGGATGATTCTTTATGCTTTCCTTATATTTTTGTTATTCTAACCATAATAAGACCATTTGATTTACAAAGGATGGCTGCACATAAGCATTTAAGACTCTTCAGGGGATATAGCACATCAGGGAGACTATTATGATGGCTATAAGAAGGATAATATCAAGAAACAGAGGTACCTTTGTTAACAGGAATCTTCACAGACCAAACTGATTAAAATCAAAGAATTCGAAGTTAGGCAATAAAGATAGTTCAACAATACTGGAGTCTAAGTTGTCATTCTTTGTTCAGGCCATGATAGCAATTAAGGACCATAGTTCACGGTAAAATGGCTTGATTTAAAGAGTTGCTCATTTCTGTGGTTAGCCTGGTAACAAGTCATAGTAACCTGAAGATCCACTTAAAGAATAGAAAACCTTGGAATAGCCACGTTTGCCATTCGCTATTTAGGATGCCTGCAACCCAACTGTTAGCTGCTCCCGTTAACACATCCTGTGTTCCTTTCCCCTCAGAAATGTCCTTAATGTATTTGGTGCCAGTGTCTAGAGAAACAGCACTATCAACCACGTTTTTAATTAAGCTTTCTGTAGTAATAAAATCAGGGGAAAGATAGGTGTAGCATTCAGTTTTGTTCAACACTATACACAGCCCCCAGCAAATGGAAAGAGATCTAAAGCTGTGTGATGTTCCATTAAGTGTTCTAGTTGAACACAAATGTTCTCATCCAACTTCCAAAGAGTGGCAAACCTGTCTGAACCCCTGGGAGGTTTGACTGGCTACAAAATTCAAGATTTTCCCCAGGTTACAGATAAGCTTCAAATTCCATACAACTGGCACCACATTACCACCAAGAGTGAGCCCCCAGGAACCCCATTGGGAACTTTCCTCAGTGGGAACTAACTTATCTTCATCTCTTTCAAGGTTGATACTAATTTTAGTTATTGACTGCTTTGGCCTCTGATTATGGGAAGTATTATGGAAACTTTCGGGGAAAGCTGTCCAAAATTCAGGAGTGAGCAAGTGCAAATAGCAAGATCCAAACCAGGGAGAAGGCAGAACACAGGAGCAAATTCTCTGCAGATCCAATATAGGTTCTAGGGGACTGAAAAATAGAGCCACCTAGTGGCGTCTGAGCAGAGGCCAGTTAAATTTGCTCTCCCATAAGTCTGCATAGCTCCTGAACAAGGTCCAGAGGGATACTTACTTTTTTGTGGTCTCTTTATAGCAGAGCACATAACCACATTTGCTGGAAAGGAACCTTACCGGATTTAATCCAGTGACATCATACAAGCAATTATTTGTACCCACATAGATAGTCCCCAGGTCTTGAGTACATTATGACTGGAAGTTCAGTATGCCTTTTGCAGGCATCACTCAAAGAGGTTTTCTATATTTGGTAGTAATTAGGTGATTAATTGGAAAAGTCAGAGTACTATTTCCAGAGAGTATAGGAAAGCAAGTAGCAGTGATGTGTAAAATATCAAGGATAGATTTCTGCTCCTCCTTTGGGGTTGCAGGGTGATTCTCAATGGGAAGAGAGGCACTGGCATTAGTAAAATTGTTTCCTGATTTGGGGGCATTAGCCCACAAACCCAACAATTGCTCTGGTTTCTTGCTAGAGCATGAGACTTTGCCAAAGTCATCCGCAGATTATGGTCCATAGATTTTCCTGTAAGAAAAGGGAAGGGATTAGGACAGCAGGAAATAAAAAAGATAAGGCTTTCATGATGGCAGAGAAGTCTTCATCCTCCATCTTGGGAAAGTTGTTCACATCTAGGATGCCATTTGCTTTTGGAGAAAACTCCCTGGTCAGCTTTACCTTAAGGTCTCCAACAGGTGTACAGTTTCAGGAGTCTGAAAAGGCATTTTTGAGTTGAGAGATGTGGATATAAGACTTGAGACCCTGAAGTTGTGCCGCAGAGAGGAGCACAATATGATCTCTTCCAACAGAATTCAAGGGCAGTCTTTCTCTGGTGGCATTTCCAAAAGACCCAGTACTTGGGTTTTAGATCATTAAAGTCCGGTTGTCATCAGTTGCGGGGTGAGCAAAAAGGGCTTCTCTTACCTGGTGAAAATATATTTTGGCATAATGCATTAAACCCTTGCACTACTGAGTCATGTCAGAGTTTATAAGAGTGGGAGATAAATGAGGGTCTGCTATTGGGGACATAGGCCTTCAGTAACTCTTCATAAGGGGTCAATATGTTTTCCAATGGGAGTGGATCTGACTGCCACCAACCAGTAACACCTTTGGCCAAGACAATCCAACCAATTCAGTTAACCTTACCTAATGCTGCTGTGTTTGTAATACTTTACGTAAATGTTTAACAACTTGTCCAGTGGAACAAGTACCTCTGTTGCTGGAGATTTTTCCAGGAATGATCCATAAAAGAAACACATTTTCTAATAACATTTTAGCTACTGTTATAGCATTGGCCTTCCTGCTTAGGAAAACATGCATTGAATGTGGCAATGGAGTGAAATCCATCTGTAAGTGCTCAAATGATCCAGTAGGTATCCAGAAATGTATAACCTGAGGTTTTCATCATCTTACCAGAATTATGGGTTTGACAAACCAAACATGGGTTATAAACCATTTTTGGCAATTTTAGAACAGTCACCTCACCAATATTTTTTCATAAATTAAATCATTTTGTCTCTTTCATGATGAGTCGTGGAGTGCAGAGCTTTTAATAATGGAAGCTTTTAAGGACTCAGGAAGGACCAGGCAGCCACCCAGGCTCTCCACGATTCTATGCTTAATGATTAATTTACATCCTCTTAAATATCAATTTTGTTTCTCCTATTCAGATGCATAGCACTGCTTATGAAACAGGTTATCACAGGCAATTTAACTTTGATCAATCTTATGGAGTTCATTCAAATTGTATATCTTAACAATTTTGGTACTGGCAGGCTTAGCATAAAAATCTGCCAACTCATTTCCTTGGTATTTGATTAATCGTTGTTCTGCTTGATGTTGGGTTAGCAGTTTAAGAACCAGTCACTTTCTTCATTAGGGTACTGGGAACTCTTGCCCAGGCCAATGACATAATTTTAAAGTCATCAGAAACCTGCACTTATCAGAGTTCTTTCCATGAAACTCCTTGAAGACAAAACACACTTTAGGCTTACGAAAAGTACCAGAGTAAAGAATCAACTGTCTGTGAGTGACAAGACTTAAGATGGCTATGGTTGGGCCGACCCCGTGGCACACTCGGGAGAGTGCGGTGCTGGGAGCGCAGCGACGCTCCCACCGCGGGTTCGGATCCTATATAGGAATGGCTGGTGCTGAGCGCACTGCGGACGACACCACACCAAGGGTTGCGATCCCCTTGCCGGTCACAAAAAAGACAAAAAAAAAAAAAAAAAAAAAAAGATGGCTATGGTTAAAGATCTGATGAGAGTTCATTTCAATAATGATGCAATTGACAAGGAAGTTTTATTATTTCTGTTGCGTACAATATTTTAAGATAACTAGAATTATGACTGATA